TTTGTACTTCTGCCATTAAAAAAGTATTTCTTTTTTTTTTTTTTTTTTAGACAGAGCCTCAAGCTGTCCCCCTGGGTAGAGTGCCGTGGCATTACAGCTCACAGCAACCTCCAACTCCTGGGCTCAAGCGAGTCTCTTGCCTCCGCCTCCCAAGTAGCTGGGACCACAGGCGCCCGCCACAACGCCCGGCTATTTTTTGGTTGCAGCCGTCATTGTTGTTTGGCGGGTCCGGGCTGGGGATTCGAACCCGCCACCTTAGGTGTACGTGGCTGGCGCATTAGCCGGTTGAGCTATAGGTGCCGAGCCTAAAAAAGTATTTCTTTAAAAGAATGATGCTGTATTTATGTAAAAGTTGAAAGATGTCTGTAAGAGATTATATTTTCCGAAACGGCCAGGGCAATATTCCCAGTCCTACATGCCCTTCCAGAACCTCGCTACTCCCCATTGGGAGGACAAGTTTATCCCTTCCTCTTGAATCCGGGTGGGACTAGTGATAGCCTCAATCATCAGAATGCTGTGGCTTCTGGGGCTATGCAAAAATGGCCTTATGGCTTCCATGTGGCTCTTGCTCTCTCTTGGAGTGCCTGACCTGGAAATCTAGCCAGCATGATGTGAGGAGTCTCAACCTACCAACGGTTCAGTGGTTTTGAGTATGTTCACAGAATTGGGCAAACATTGCCACTATCGAATTCCAGAACATATACATCATCCCCAAAAGGATGTACCAACCAGTTCCCACACACCCCAGGCCTGAAGCACTCATCTCCTTTTCATCTCTATGAACTTGTGTATTTTCTGAACATTCATATAAATGGAACTGCACATGTGGCCCTTTGTGTCTAGCTCCTTGCACCCTAGCACAATGCCTTCAAGGCTCTTCATGCTGCGTATATCAATACTGCATTCCTTGCGAGGGTGAATAATACTCCATTGTATGGATATCTCACTTTTTTGCTTATCCATTCATCAGGTGTCAGACATTTGGGTTGTTCCCACTTTTTGGATGTTAGGAGTAATCTTACCATGCACACATGTACATGGTTTTTGTGTGGATATGTTTTCAACTCTCTTGTGTTCAAGTACTTTTAAGTCACCTAAGTATTAAATGATAAATACATAATTATTAAATGATACTGGATAACAATAAATGATACACAATTAATTCTTATTCATTAAAGCAGACTCCCTAAGAGCAGAAACTTGTTTCTTCATGGTAATTCACATTCAACTAGGACCACTGGTAGTAATAAAAAGTAGAAATACCAAAGTAATAAAACAGCACAATTTAAAATCCAGATTTTTCACTAATTCACACAAACCTTTACCCAATGAGTCTGAATAAATGAGACAGCAATTTACTATCTCTATATAAAAAGAGAGCTATTATGTGGTCTTCAAAATTCCTCTTTATAGTCCAAAATGAAAACCTATCATTTCATTTTAATTTTTTTTGAGACAGAATCTCGCTCTGTGGCCCTGGGTAGAGTACTGAAGTGTTAGCAGCAGCAACCTCAAACTCTTGGGCTCAAGCAATTCTCTTGCTTCAGTTTTTCTATTTTTAGTTGAGACAGGGTCTCACTCTTGCTCAGGCTGGTCTCCAACTCCTGAGCTCAAATAGTTCCCCTGCCTCAGCCTTCCAGAGTGCTAGAATTATAGGTGTGAACCACTGTGCATGGCAAAAACCTATCATTTTAATTTGACATATAGGGAGCAGCTGGAGCCTCTTCAGGACTTGGGGTTTGTTGTAGAATTGTGAACACAGAACTTTGTGCTATGCTATGACTTAACCTGTCTAGGTTTATTTAATAAGTGCAATAGAGGTTAGCAGATGATAGATTGTAAAAGTTTAATAAAAACAGACTGAATGTGTTTAAAACCCCAGATGACAATGAAAACCTACTTATATGGGTGTTTAGGCTCACATTGAGAGCCTGAGCCCCCCCACCCCCACCCCCCAGGAGAACAGCATGCAGATAAGAACCACCTCCCTTCAGGACAGTCCTGCTTTCCCCCAGTGCCTGCTGCCAGCATCTCCAGCAAGCCTCGCGTCCTTCCAGTGTGCCTGTGTCACGTAAATGTAGTAAGGAAAGAATGAGATGCTTCTTTGGGGCCACTGTTGTCGAGGCCACTTGGGCGGTTGGGGAGAAGAAACCACACTAATGAGAAACTGTAGATGCTTTTGCCAGTGGAAAATTACAAGTTAGCTTGGTTTCAATCCTTGGCACCAAGTCTTGGGTTCCTCATCCTGGAGCAGACTCCTTTCCACTCAGCTTTCTCTCAGTCAGTGTCCTGGCACATCATCAGACGGGAACATAATGAGAAAGAAGTGTCTCATGGGGATGAGCAGCACTGGTAGCTGACCAGATGGGGACAATCACAGATATTCAAACAAAGTGCTGACCAGACAGTAGCACTACTTGTCACCTTGCCTACACAAACTGTATGTGGGGTTCAGACCTCCCAAAATACATGTACACCAAGAGGGCCGGAGAACATTTGTTGTTCCCTCCTTTTCAGGACAACCCTCTGGCTGGTCTTCAGTAACAAGCAGTGGCCCAACTGTAGTACCCTCGAGTTTCCCAAGTGCTCCTGTATCATCTCAGAGTCCCGATATTACTGCAGAAGGGGTCTACCTTATTCCTGGTTTATTTACGATTCAGGTTATGTGAGTGTAGGGTGGGCAGTGACAAATAGCTTTATAATTTTTATAGAAACAACCCTTACTAATTGTAAAAAACCAAAGTCTAGGCATGTAGTTTAGAAAGATCTTACCTTTCAGAGGCAAGAGGTGTGCCGCTTTGGTGAGCATGTCTAGCAATCTGTTCTATGTGCATCATTATTCACGCAGCATTTCCCAAGCATGTTTGTGACAATGGTGTTAATTTGTGTTCGCCCAGAAGCTGACCCCAAGACAAAGACTGGAAAGCGAGAGATGCAGGGAAGGTGCAGCAAACAGGACCGGGGAGCAAGGCGGGTGCCTCAGGGAGGGCCAGGTTGGCAATTGTCAAGTTAGCTGCCGCTGTAGGAGGACAGCTCTTCATCTCACAGACAAAGTATAGAGAAGTGGAGACCCTGTGCCTTAGTGTGCCTTAGCGGTATCACACTTGCAAGGGCAGGGAGCTGAAGTACTCGTACCCCAGGTGCCACTGGCTCAGGCTGCTCCCAGGGTGAACACTGTGTGCATCCAGCTGGCACAGCTTTCTAAGGTGTCAGAGAAAGGCCCAGGAAAGAGGCAGAGCCTAGCTGCTGGAGGGCAGCCAGGTGCACGCACAGCAGTGATACTGCTTGAAAGATGTGCCAGGCACATTTCGGGTCTGGGGACACAGAAAGAAACAAAATTCTGCCCTCATGGAGTATTCTTTTCTATGGGGGAGACAGAAAATAAATAGGGCAAGTAAGAAACCTATGGAGTGTGTTACCAGTAATGAGTACTGTGGAGGGAAATTAGGGGAGTTCTGGGAAGAGGGAGAAGAGCTGGGTTACAATCAGCCAGAGGGACGAGGGCCAGCCTCACTGAGAAGTGACACTAAAGACCCAGAAGAAAGGGGAGAGGAAGGAACATCACATGGTTATGTGAGAAGAATGGTTAGGTGCACAGGCCCCAAGGGAGGAGCGTGAGGAGCAGGGCGCAGCAGGAGGGCCAGGCAGAGGGTTGCCCTGCTCACCCTGCCTGACACCCCCGAGCATAGGAGACAACTGGATGGCTGTGGCTGCCACACAGAGAACGTCCCAAAGAGGAACTAGACAGAAGCAGGGAAGATTTGTCAGGAGGTGACTGTGATACTTGGGTGGGGATGGGAGGCAGGGGAGGGAGAAGAGTTAGATTCTAGAAATGTTTTTGTTGTTGTTGTTTTTTGAGACAGAGTCTTACTATGTTGCCCTTGATAGAGTGCTGTGGCTCACGGCAACCTCAAACTCTTGGGCTTAAGCGATTCTCTTGCCTCAGCCTCCCAAGTAGCTGGGACTACAGGCGCCCGCCACAATGCCCAGCTATTTTTTTGTTGCTGTTGTCATTGCTGTTTAGCTGGCCCGGGCCGGGTTTGAACCCGCCACCCTCGGTGTATGTGGCTGGTGCTGTAACCACTGTGCTATAGGCTCTGAGCCTAGAAATATTTTTTAATTTTAATTTCAATTTTGTATTAGAGATGGGAGTCTGGCTATGTTGCCCAAGCTGGACTCAAACTCCTGGGCTCAAGTGATTTTCTCACCTCAGCCTCTCAAATACCTGGGACTATAGGCATGTGCCACCATGCCTGGCTAGACTGTAGAAATATTATTAAAGTAGGGCCAAGATGATTTGCAGATTGGTTGTGAGGTATGAGAGAAAAAATGGAGTTGATGGACTGATGCCTGAGCAAATGGAAAACGGAGTTGCCTTTTCCTGAATCAGGGAAAAATGCAGGAGCAAGTCTGGGGTCAGGGGTGACTGGACCCTGGCATTGGACCTATTGGATCTATCAGACCTCCAAGGGGAGATACCAGTAGGAAGTAGGATATAGGGGCCCGCAGCTCAGAGGAGAGGCCTCATCTGGATGTGAGATGGGGAATGTGACAGCACAAAGATGGTATGACCTATGGGGTTGGCTGAGACCCCCAAGGGAGCAAGCCACAGAGAATAGACGTCTGGCCCTCAGGAGGTGGAACATGGAGCAAGGGGGCCTGGGAAGAGTGCAGTGTCCTGAAAACTAAGTGCGGAAAATATTTCTGTGGGTGGGGGAGCAGTTGTACATGTATATACAGAAGCACTCTATGTAGATACAGACACACACACATAGGGTGCTTCAGATCAACAGTTTTATACTATATAAGCAATCTACAACTTGGTTTCCTTTTCACTGTACAGGGTCACCATAGGTCCCAAAGGTCACCATACACAGGAAATTGAACAAACTCATATTATATTTTACATATATTTTAAAATATTTATTTAATGACATATAGAAAAATATTCTGTAAATATTTAGTAATGAATATTTTGTAAATAAAGATACATTTAGCTACAATTTCCCACTTTCCCTATGTATGTATGTATGTACAACGACCTTTGGGACACCCCATATCTGTTGGGAACACAAACTGAGTGAGAAGGACAATACTATCTGTTTGCTCCACCACTAGAGGCTGCCTAGCATTTCATTGTGCACATGAACCACAATTAACTTTTCCCATATAGATATATATTTTCCCCAGTTATAGAATTCTACATTACTTGGCAATGGGTGTCGTGTGCAATCGTCCTTTCACAACTTGTGTGGTAACTCCTTGAAATGACCCCCCAGGAGTGGAGTTGCTACGTACAAGGATATGCCCTTTTCACATGGATTCTAGACTCTTTCCGGGGCAGCTCCACTACTCAAAGATACTTTCAATATGGAGCAGCTCCTGACCTCAAGGAAGAATGGCCGGGACACCATTCCCGGCAGACCCTATTCTCCAGGGAACTTTGAACTCAGGGAAGACACAGAACAGCTATCTGCATAGTCACTGTTAGAAACCAGCGAAGGTTTAGGTCATCAGAAAAGTCTCTGACAGGAAGTAATCTGCCAGTACTAGCTTATAGCCCGACACACTGAGCTGTGGTTGACTTGGGAGTGGAAAAACCATCCCATTTCCATGCAGAAGGGAGCAGCTCTCCAGGTCCACAGGACCGCCAGTGAGCCTGATGTCTACTACATCAACAGTAAACGCAGCAAAGACAGAGTCTTCTGTGAAATGACTGTAATTAAGACTACAAGTCTTTCCCTACCATTTATTTTCGCTGGCTGGATCTGTCATTTTGCTGTTAGAACAAGTCTACTACATACCTCAGATGTTTTTTCTTTACCTTGTCATTCCGAGCAAAAGCATGACTCCATCACCTGTCTGGGCGCATACTGAGTCTTCGTCTGGATGGTGTCAGCACGTCCTGCACACTCAGCAGCAACCTTGAAAATAACATCTACTGCCTGCCAGGAGGTTGGCTGACAGCCTCTGTGATCTCCAAGGGCACCAAGGGATGATGTGCTCAGTCACACACCTCTGAAGTGCAGGGAAATAAACGGAGACAACTTTTGATTCAGAGGGAAATAAAAGGAAAATGACAAACCCAGAGCCAGGCCTTGGCTCCTTGTTTATTTCTGTCCCTGGTAAGTCTATAAAGGACATCACCCTGGGCTATGGGCCTTGCTGTTTTAGCCACAGAAACCATAGGCAGGTAGTACTTCCTTACACCAATTCTCAACCATGAGGGGAGGCCCACAGAAATGTCGCTGATGACCTATAGTTTTAAAAAGTTTACAATCATGTGGTCTGGCAGTGTGTGCTTCAGTTCCTGCAGCGTGTGGGTCTGTGTCTGCGCTATCCCTCCCTCCACCAGTCTGGCCTCCACACGCACATGCTGAGGAAGCTGCCAACACCTCCCCATTCTGCTGTCAGTGATGGCCAGGCCAGCCAGAAGGTCCACAGGGAGGATTTTCTTATATGTCACGGTGAGATCAGTCTCCGTCTTCCAGGGATATAGCAAGTAGAAGGCAGTCAATAGCACTGATGTCAAATCCCATTCCCTGAATGACTGCATTTCGCAATTTATCATGAGGAAACTGCCTTCAGACACCTAAACCCCTGCATGATGTTTAAAATAAGAGCCATCTCATCTTTCTCGTCTGCATGTGCTGTCTGCAGGCCTCTGCTCAGAATGCTATGTAGTGGTGCTCCATTGTGCTGACGATGTCACTCTGGTCCTCCAGGAGCTCCAGAACCTGCCGTAGCACAGCCTCACTCAGGCCCGGGAGGACACTCAGGCGAGCACAGGCCAAGATGTGCAGGAAGTGGCAGCCCTTCTCCACGTCTGTGGGAAAAAGGAAAGCGGCTGAGCACGTACATAAGTTTCAGACCCTTTTCTGTCCCCTCCTGCCACACCTCCTGAATTCGCACCTGCATTTTGACAAGATCCTCAGATGATTCTGATGTGCATTAAAGTCTGAGATACACTGGTCTTGGTCATCACAAAAATAAAAAAAACCCGTTTTCAGGTCCCATATGTCATCACAGCAACAGGGACCTGATGGCTCAGGGACTTTGACCTTCAACTTTGAGGGATTTCCCATCAATGATTTTATATCCACAACCTAATAGGTTTTTAGTGTCGATAAACTTTTCTCTAGTGCAATTACACATGTAAGTGCACGTATTCAGTGCTAAACCTCTAGCTTCCCTGGTGGGCACCCCTTGAGACTCACAGCAGAGCTGGTTTGCTACCCCATCTATATTCTTTCCTGTAAATCCTGACCTGATGGAGCTTCCATGGTGGGAAGGGATTCTAACCTTGGCCTGGTCTCATTCCTCCCTTCCTGGCCTCCAAAAAGTCTTACCTGTGAAGGTTCTGGTCTAGTAACTTTTACCCTCTATCCAAAACTAAGACCATCTGGTAAATAATGATAAAAGTTTGGGCTTAGTTCCCAACTTGTTGGGCAGTTGAGATCAATTACGTAGAGCAGTAGTAGTCAGGCTGAGGGGCTGTGACCCTAGGGGATCATGAAGTCAATTTCTGTGGGTTGTGATTAGCATTCTCTTTCTTACCAAACAGACCAGAATAAAATTATAGAATATATTGCATTAAATGGATGAGTATTCTTTTGTGAAACTTTACTTCATATATACAGAGGGTACCAAAAAATGTATACACATTTTTTTTTTTTTTGAGACAGGAGCCTCAAGCTGTCCCCCTGGGTAGAGTGCCGTGGCATCACAGCTCACAGCAACCTCCAACTCCTGGGCTCAAGCGAGTCTCCTGCCTCAGCCTCCCAAGTAGCTGGGACCACAGGCGCCCACCACAACGCCTGGCTATTTTTTGGTTGCAGCCATCATTGTTGTTTGGTGGGTCCGGGCTGGATTCGAACCTGCCACCTTAGGTGTACGTGGCTGACGCCTTAGCCACTTGAACCACAGGCGCCGAGCCTATACATATTTTAAGAAAGGAAAAAACTGCACTAACACTGTAATTAATACTCAAGGCATGTTTGACTTCTGCAATTATAAGAGGTGCTCAAACGTGACTTTATTCATCTTTTGTTATTGGTATATACTGAGTATTATACTTTTAATACGATTTTTTCCTTTTCTTTAAATGTGCATACCTTTTTTGGCACCCTCTGTATATATTATACATTAGAATTATATAATATATTGGGACGTATCCTAAAATGTATTTCTGAGTCAAAGTCAAACCTCATTACTAAAAGCAAGCCCTCCCCAGTTTTCACAGTTAAAGCCCCAAGGCAGGGCCAGGCATGTCCTCTCTGTCATACACCCAGCACCTGGCACACAAAAGCTGCTCTACACAACTACTGAATGTTATTTTCAGATAAAAAAATAATTTAGGTTCCAGGAAGGTGCTCAAAGTGGTACTGCAGTATAGGGCCAAGCATGGGTTAAGATCTGGTGCACCTTTGTAGCCTTGGGCAGGCCAGAGCATCCCTAAACCTCCCGTTCTCAGCTCTGGCAAACAGGGAATGCCTAGGGCTGAGGAAGATTTGCTGTATTCTGACCTCTAGAGGCTGCACCTGCTCACTACACTGCCCTGCTGAGATCGCTGGTCACCACATTTCAACACCCACTTTCTGAACACGCAAGATGTGTGCAGCACTGAGCAAGGAGGAGAAAATACAGTGTGGAGGACAGATGGCTGCCACTGGAGTCCATCAGACCTGAATTCAAGTTCTGGCTCTACCATGGGGCCAAGTGGCTCATAGGAATAAAACCACCTGCTTCACAGGGTAGGTTTAGGTGGGTTTTATGTCTTCGACATAGTGAGACTCTGTATAAAAAAAAATGAAAAACATTACCCAGATGTGGTGGCACATGCCTATAGTCACATCTACTCAGGAGGCTGAGGCAGGAGGACTGAGGGACCCCAGGAAATTGAGGCTGTAGTGAGCTATAATCACACTACTGCACTCCAGCTGGGTTACAGAGTGAGGCCCTGACTCTAAAAAAGGGGAGGAGAAAAACAGGAAAAAGGAAAAGAAAGGAACTTTAGCCCTCCCTGAGCAGAAAAGACTCACCAGGAGGAAAAGGGGAGTAGCAAGGGGCAGTGCCCTGGTGACAGAGAAAGTCTCCAGCCACACTGGCCACACACAGCAGAAAAGAGCACCAGGAATTTCAGGGCTGCTTAGCTTTTAACCATAGTCTTTGTGAGGCCTGATGCTCAGGTGCAGAACTCTAGATGACTTACAGCCACACATGGGCCCTAAGCAGGATACTGACTGTTCCTAAGGCCTCAAAAAGGCTGTTCTGCTGTCTAAGGGTTGTCTGTGAAGTTGTTCAAAAGTGACCTTCCAGTCATATGGGCAACAGGAACTCAGACTCTTCTCTAGATGAGAAATTATTAGAAAATAGTATAAATAGTAAAAGCCAGCAAGCAGTTCCCCAGAGGAAGTGCAAGAAGACCACTCGACCCCTCTGGAATCAGCCCACAGCCGAAGCACGCTTTACTGAGAAATATTCGCCTCGCAGCCAGTTATCTTAAAATGTACCTCAAAGAACAATGACAATTGTGCCTTATATTTTCCCAGCTGCATTTGCATATAGCCTCATTTGTTCCATACCTCCACCAGAAACCCAAACACCCAAATCATATTAAGATAAACTCCACATATAATCTACTACTGTAACTATAACAGGTTAGGGAATTGCTTTAATAGTCTTTTAAAAAAATTGTTATAAGTTAAAAAAAATTATTCCAATGTGAGCAGTGGCATACAGTATTCAGTTTCTACAAAAAGCAGTAATTCAATCCAGATCTGAGGGAAGTAAAAGGAATTTGAGCTCCATACTTGTGAGCTTTTTGCAACGCTACAGGCGTATAAAGTTATCATCTAATAAAATGCTGCCATCTTAGAACCCACCCATCAAATATTAATTTTCTGCGGAGTGAAATGATTTGGTGATCATATAAGAGAATGTCTCTACGCCTAGAAAACATAGGCTGAAGTTTCTAGTGAATTCAGGTCAAGGGTACATGAGTGTTTATTGTACTGATTTTTAAAATTTTTTCTATAGGTTGAAAGATTTTCAGAATAAAAATCTGACGATAAAAAGGTATCTTCAATGTAGAACTCTTTCTTTTTGGACAATTTGCCATTGTTGTATCTATACATAAAACCAAAATTCAGTTGTTTTTTTAACTTTAGCCCAACAATAATAGAGCAAAATCCACACACAGAGTCTATCTGAAACACCTTCTTTCCATATCGATATTAAGTAGACAGTGAGCCTTCCGAACTCCGGGTTAGAGAGTTAAGGGCCACCACCTGTGTCATTAGGAGATAGAACTTCACTTTTATTTAACCCTTTCTTCTTTGTAGCCATAATTACATGCTGACTACTCTTCTAACTTTATAAACACTAACTTGTTGACTTCCCTAATCAACCCATCCCCAATGGGGATACTATTACTATCCCCATTTTGCATAAAAAGAACCCAAGACACAGACTTGCCTAAGGTCACCCAACTGTGAAGTGGTAGAGCTGGATTGGAATCCAGACAAGGAGGCCACAGAGCCCAGCTCCTCACCATGCCACACTGCATGTCTATGGACAACAATATCAATCCTTCCGGGACTTAAACTGGGCTTGATTTCACAGTCCTTTCATTACGGTAGGTTTAGCCTTTGCTAAGACACTCGTAATAACTAAAGATTTCAAGTCCTTCTATAAGGAAAAACTCAATGCTATATTTTGTGGAAAGGCTAGAAATGAACGAAAAAGCCCACTAGGAATGGTTAGATTAAGGGTCAAATACCTACCTACACATGTAACAGGATACGCTATAGTACTAATGAGACTGTTGCCAAATGATCTCCAGGAGCCAATGTTAGATCCAAAATATAAGGTGTGGGACAATGTGCATTGCCTGCTAACCTTTACTTAAGTTTTCTAAAAAGGATGAATAATACAAATATGTGTGTGAGTGCAATGCCATCTTTAGGAGGACATGCAGGAAACGAGTAACAACCGCTGTCTTTAGAGAGAGAACACGGAGCCTGGGGCTCAGCACTGGGAGGGAGCCTGACTCTTGTGTGTGCACTTTCACACTATTTGACTTATGATGTGCACACGTTATTCAGAATAACTGGGAATGCCATAAGTTACAGCATTATGAAGAATAGTAACAGCAGATTCCAGGATAGTCCTTATGAGGTTTTTTTTTAATCAGCATTCTCAGTCACTCAGGCTCCAGAACTCAGCTCCTGGGAGTTAGTTAGTGGTAGGCGATTGGCTTGTAGCTTTGCAAGGCTCCATGCACATGCTGGCTGGCAGAGCTTGTCCATCCTGACACTCACTGAAGCAGGAGCTGGCCTGTGGGTGGACGCAAACCCTGCCACTTTTAGAGGCCCTCCTGTCACCTAGGTTGTTAGGTCCTCCTAAAAAATAAGTGTGAATTCTCCTCATTTGCTTCACCAGCTCTAGGCTTCAATATATTCTATTATCAACTGCAGAACGAAAAATAAGCATCTAGGAAACTCCAAATGCCTATAATCCTAACACCCTGGGAGCATGAGGAGGGAGGATCACTTGAGACCAGGAGTTGGAGACCAGCCTGAACAAGAGCAAGATGTCTCTACAAGAAATAGAAAATTAGCCTGGCATGGTGGTGCACACCTGTAGTCCCAGCTACTCAGGAGATTGAGGCAGAAGGATCACTTGAGCCCAGGAGTTTGAGGCTGCAGTGAGCTAGGCTGAGGCCACTGTACTCTAGTCTAGGTAGAGAGCAAGACTGTCTCAAATTAAAAAAAAAAAGGATCTGGCCAGGGAACTGGGACTAGGATGTGATCTTGGGAACATTATCTCAGCCCTTCTTAGCTGAGCAATTCCACATTGCACTGCTTTCAAAGCTCCTTCAGCTGTGGACAGACAGGCTTTCTAAAGGATACTTGTTCTTATTTTCTGAATGAAGTGACAGTTTATTCACTTGCATTAAAATAATAGATTCCTTTGAGTTTATTTTTAACACTTGTCATACAAATCTGGGATCTGACCTCATTGCTTCTTAAAGGCTAAATAGAGCTGCATACCATAAATACCAGGGCCAGAGACCTGGCCCAGCTTCGCCCACTGACTCAGCCAGGCATAGGTCCAGGCCCCAGGGATGTATGGGCTGGTAGAACTGGACATGGACTTCTCTGCAGACCACCTGGGGACCTGGGTCATTAGCAAAACTTTCCAACACTTATTATTACCTTATGTTTATAAAAGGTAGACTATGAAAAGTCACCTTTAAGACTATCAGTTTACATGGGGTTTAAGATAGAACTAATGCTTTCTCCTAACTAGTGTGAAAATGGTAATGTCATCAGACAAGCTACAGTTCTAGCATCTAACCACTAGGGGCCGAACTAACCCCACGAAAATCATTTCTGAACCATTTCTTTGGTCCCAGAGTGGTGGCTTACCTCACTGTGTCAGAACCACTTGAGTTTACCTGCCTACCCACCTCCCCGTCCTCTGTGCAGATTCAGCACTACCACTCCCCGGGGGTGGGGGGAGGAGCTCTGCATGATTAAAAAAGCTCCAAGGTTGAATCTTCTGAGCAGCCAAGGTCAGAACAAGTGCGCTACCCTAGCATTCACTTCAGAGAGGTTCAGAGAGGGACCTCCTGACCATCCTCTTTCTAGGTCACTGCTGGGAAAAGCCCCAAGTCTCCTGACTCTCCTCCCATCAGTGCCCTCTGGGAGGGAGCACCCCCTTCCGGGGCACCTGGGTGTCACTTGTACCTTGCACCACTTACGGTTTGGTTTCTGGCACTCCTCCTGAATGAGCCGCCGGATATTTCTGTGTAGATCTTTGTCTTCTCTGGTTACCTAAATAGGAAAAATAATTCACAGAGTATGCTCTTAGGTAACACAGCAGTGTGTCATCCAGATACCCAAATTAGCATTTAGGATAGTTTCTAAAGATTTCATAACAATCATCCTCCCTACTCTGACAACAGGGTTTTTGATACATGGCCTACTGTCAAACCAGTCCTGTCCCTAAGCAGCTCACTGCTCCCTCGTTGCCCAGAGGACACATGCCTAGGAGTTGGTTCACTGAAGACATGAGGTAAAGGAAAGCTGGAATCGTGTACTTTCAAGAAGCAACTCTTTTCTTAAACACTCACAACACGTCCATAATATTTCTCTTATTAGTTATTACATTTCCGACGGAGGCACCACTAATCAAAGCATCTGATCTCCACCCCATGACTCCTTCTGGGCCATGTCACCTGTCATGTGTTACGTAAGTTTTCTTCCTTCTCCCAATCACAAGGAAAAAATAAAAGAAAAAACTATAAGGACAAGTTAGTATGAGAATAAAGCTAGTGTATCTACTGAAACTCTTTTTTTTTGAGATACAGTCTCACTCTGTCACCCTGGGTAGAGTGCCACAGTATCATCATAGCTCATAGCAACCTCAAACTCTTGGATCAAGCGATCCTCTTACCTCAGCCTCCAGAATAGCTGGGAGAACTACAGGTGCCCACCACAAAGCCCAGCTAGTTTTTCTATTTTTAGTGGAGTTGGGTTTTGCTCTCGCTCAAGCTGGCCTTAAACTCCTGAGCTCAGGCAATCCACCTGCCTCGGCCCCCCAGAGTGCTAGGATTATAGGTGTGAGCCACCACACCTGGCCTCCCCCAAAACTTTCTGCTCGCAAAGGCAGGTATAACCTAGTTTCTTTCTCAGCCAGCTCGAGTGAGAAAGCAGCAGACAAATGGGTTTCACCTTCATATTCAAGAGTAAGTATAATAACAGAGAGAGAGAGAAGGAAAGAGAAAAAGAAAGGAAATAAAGGGCAGAGGAAGGAAGGGATGAAGAAAGCAGGAGAAGGAAAAGGAAGCATGCAAGCAAATAGCTTAAGTTTCCCCCTTAGACACAGGCCAAGAATGCTGTCTGACCTGACTTTATAGAACAGGGATGTTGGTAATGCCTGCCTTCTCCCAACTCACAAGGTCAGGTGAAGATTAAGGTAAAGTGTGAAAAAGCTGCTGCAAGCAGGAGAGTACTGTACAAACACAAGTGTTGACTTTACTGTGATAACCATTTCCCCGAAGCAGGGCCTCAGGAGAAAGGAAATCTGACAGGCAAGGGAGGAGTGAAGTCTGAGAAGGGCAAGAGCGCTATTCCAGCTTGAGCACCCGGTTCAGACTCCCGGTGATTCACAGGAGGAAGTGCCCAGCCCACCGCACCTCGCCCCACACTGCAGCTCTCTGCATGCCTGGAAGGATGTGTCTTGGGAGGGCTCCCAGTGAGCTGCCCTAGGAGTTTCCCCAACTTCCCAGAGGCAACCAGCGCAATTATCCCCCATGAACTGGGGACCCCCTTCACCCTTTACCCAGACTGGGCTATCTCTTTGACAAGTTACTCTAGTAGTATTTAAATTATATCCTCATTTTCAAAAACTCTCTAAAATGGGGAATCACTAGGGTAAATCAACTTGGAGAAATGTCCAAGGAAGACACGCTTCCCCTCAGGAATCTCCTGTCAGTGACGAGACCACTGGGATACCTCAGAGTGTTATCAGGCTCCAGAGGAATCACATATAACTGAGGCCACATCCATGCTGCTAGTATCAGCGTCACGAGGAGGCTTGTTTTCAGCTTGGCTCCTCCAGCACTAAAGGAATGCAGCAAGAGGCAAACTTCTCACTCAGGAAGAGCGAGAAGCAGCGGCCTGTGTGCTCCTGCTGGACCATCGACTGGCACGGACTTCGGGGGGGCCAACCAGACTGCATCGGCCAAAAGCTGATACGTGCCCTTTGCTCCAGCAATTCTTCTTTTAACAGTCAATCTTTTTTGTTTGTTTTGGGTTTTTTTTTTTTTTTTTTGAGATAGGGTCCCGCTCTGGGCCTTGGCTAGAGTGCAGTGGTATCATCACAGCTCTCTACAACCTCAAACTACGGGGTTCCTGGGATTCTCCTGCCTCAGCCTCCCAGTAGCTGGGACTATAAGTGTGCGTTAACTAATTCTGTTTTTTTTTTTTTATAGCAATGGGGATCTCACTACATTGCCGAGGCTGGTTTGTTTGTTTGTTTGTTTTTGCAGTTTTTGGCCGGGGCTGGGTTTGAACCTGCCACTTTTGGCATATGGGGCTGGCGTCCTACTCCTTTGAGCCACAAGCGCCACCCTTTTTTTTTTTGAGACAGAGTCTCTAGCCATTGCTCTAGGTAGAGTGCTATGGCATCACAGCTCACAGCAACGTCCAAGGCTTAAGCAATTCTCTTGCCTCAGCCTCTCAAGTAGCTGGGACTACAAGTGCCCGCCACAACGCCTGGCTATTTTGGGGTTGTAGTTGTCATTGTTGTTTGGCGGGACTGGGTTGGATTCAAACCCGCCAGCTCTGGTGTATGTGGCTGGCGCCCTAGCCATTTGAGCTATAGGCACCAAGCTGCGAGGCTGGTCTTAAACTCCTGGCTTCAAGTGCTCCTTTTGCCTCAGCCTCCCAAAGTGCTAAGATTATAGATGTGAGCCACTGTGCCCAGTCTTAAGAGTCAATCTTATAGGCTGGGTGCCCGTTGCTCAGAGATTACGGTGCTGGTCACATGCTCTGGGGCTGGTGGGTTTGAACCCAGCCCAGGCCTGCTAAACAAACAAACAAACAAACAAATAGCCAGGTGCTGTGGTGGGCACCTGTAGTCCCAGCTACTAGGGAGGTTGAGGCAAGAGAATCACTTGAGCCTGGGAGTTTGAGGTTGCTGTGAGCTATGACACCATGGCACTCTACCAAGCTTGACAAAGCGAGACTCTGTCTCAATTAAAAAAAAAAAAAAAAGAGTCAATCTTACAGAAATACTGACATAAGTTCACAAAGACAGTTGTATAAAAATAGTCCTAGCATCACTACCTGGGACAGCAGAAGTTGGAAATACCATAAGTGGATGTCACAAAGGAATGACTAAATAATTTACAGCAAGTTACCTATACTATGGAATGACACGAAAATGTTCAAAAGAATGAGGTAGATTTTCAAGTACCAATGTAGAAAGGTGCTTGTGATGTGCTATTTGGGTGCCAAAAACATTACTAAGCATTGCTGAGAGTAGCAATTCTCAATGGTCCCCGGTCAGGACAACTGGCAATGTCTGGAGACATTTTTGCTTCTCATGACTGGGGAGCTCCTGACATCTAGGGTGTGAAAGCCAGGGATGCTGAATATCCCACAGTGCCCATAGTAGTCACACATGTGGCCCAAACAGTGTTAGGTTGAGATATCCTGACTTAGAAGATGGTCACATTTTTCTTTCTTTCTTTCTTTTTTTTGTAGAGACAGAGTCACCCTTTATTGCCCTTGGTAAAGTGCCATGGCATCACACGGCTCACAGAAACCTCTGTCTCCTGGGCTTAGGTGATTCTCTTGCCTCAGCCTCCCAAGTAGCTGGGACTATAGGCACCTGCCACAACGCCCGGCTATTTTTTTGTTGCAGTTTGGCTGGGCCGGGTTTGAACCCACCACCTTCAGTATATGAGGCCAGCACCCTACCCACAGGTGCCGCCCGATGGTCACATTTTTTATCAAACAAAAAAGCCACAGGAGCATATACTTATATATGTGCATTTGTAAATGTGCAGACAAATGTCTAGGAAGATATACAGTTGTCTCTCAGTAAACATGGGAGCTGGTCCCAGGACCACCAATGTGTACCAAAATCTGTGCATAAGTTTCCCAGATGGCCATGGAACCCAAGTAGGTGAAAAGTCAACCATCCTTATACGCAGGTTTCACATGCTCAAATACTGTATTTTCAGTCTGCATTGGGCTGAAAAAAGAGTCTATGCCTAAGAGGACCTGCCCGGTTCAACCCATGTCATTCCAGGGTCAACTGTATTGTCAATAGAGGCACCTTGGGAAATACAAGGGCCAACTTTCACTTCTGACTTCACGTACTTCCTTAATAAATTTTAAACACAGTAAGTGGTTTTTTGTAAGTAATAAATATGTCTGTCTCGATCTCCTGGCCTCAAGCAATCCTCTTGCCTTGGCCTCCCAAAGTGCTAGCATTACAGATGTGACCACCATGGCCAGCCTATAAGTAATAAATACATTTGTAATGGAAGCTGTTAAGGAAAAAAATTAAGTTGCAGGTCTCTTACATAGTACAGGTGATTAAAACCACCATCTTTCTGGAAAACAAGTCCTTTTTCCTGCAGTAGCTGTATAGCATTCTTAAATATACTATGAATTGCCTTGGAAGTGGTGTCCTTCTGAACAGTCACCTGTGTAAAAAGGAAAAAGGAAAAAAAAGAAGAAAAGAAATAAGTTGCATTTTACAGCATCTGAGACTCCCTAGGGCCTAGACCAACTGGCTCATGAATTTGCCCAACAGGGCTTTTATCTGCTGAGTAAATGTACTGGCCTAGCAGGAAGGTGTTTAGGAGGACGGGGACGGGTGCTCTGGCAGGGTCATGCTCCTCAACTGTTCCATACTTTAGTGGGACACACACGCCTTTTGGGGGCAAGACACAATTCTGAAAGGGACTTTACCTAACAAGTTCAATCAGTGTAACCTGGTTTCTTATACTCAGCCACTTGCTCCCTGGCATACGTCAGGTGACTAACAGAATGTCTGTGAGATGAATGGAAACAAATACCCCGCTGGAGAGGCTGCATCCTTCATATTAGTCCATTGGGGATTGTTATTCATTCTCAAAACAAAGAAAAGAGTGAACAACTTCTTCAAGGTACAAATCCATTTTTAATATGACAGAAATTTATCAATATATTAAAAAGATCAGAGCTCCAAAGGAATGTGGCCAAGCTTCCCCAAAAGTGTTTGAAGGCAAAGTCCCAATTCTAATGAAAGGCGTCTACAAAGGGTATCTGGGGCAACAGCCAGAGATGCTAAAAAAAAAAGTGCAGTTGAGATTTGCAGATGACATTTCCTCAGGGTGACAGAGAGAGGAAAGAACCTCCAAAAGTCTCAAATGTTTATAGTTCCATCCCTAAAGAAACTCTCTCTTTCTAGAAGAGGCCTTCCAAACAAGGACTTTGTTAATCTAATAGATCCTGGTGACATTCCATAAGCGTGTCTCTTCTGGGCTAAAGATGACAGCCTAATGCTCTTAATTAAATTAATAGTCTAATGTTTCACTTAAAACAACAAGCTGGGCTCGGCGCCTGTAGCTCAACCGGCTAGGGCGCCAGCCACGTACACCTAAGGTGGCGGGTTCGAATCCCCAGCCTGGACCCGCCAAACAACAATGACGGCTGCAACCAAAAAATAGCCGGGCGTTGTGGCGGGCGCCTGTGGTCCCAGCTACTTGGGAGGCGGAGGCAGGAGACTCGCTTGAGCCCAGGAGTTGGAGGTTGCTGTGAGCTGTAATGCCACGGCACTCTACCCAGGGGGACAGCTTGAGGCTCTGTCTCCAAAAAAAAAAAAAAAAACCACCAGGTTGGTTACCTTGTCATTAGAACATTTGGGCCTAAAAACTGACAAACATTCTGGGTTATGACAGGATCCATTCTCTGAAGAGACGGTAAGACTGAGAAATATTTGACAACTCCCACAGGGAGAAAAGCTATCTGGGTGTGTTTAGAATAAACACCTCACCTAGCAAGCTTCAGCCACATATACCATCATTCATGGGGGCTTAGGGCAGAGCTGTTTTTAATTTCATACATGAATGCTCTTACTTAGGGGACACTCGATCAACCTGAAATAGACAGCTCCTTCACAAACCTTTATAACCCCTTCATCTTTATAATTCTAAGATCTATCTTCCTTAGTCAATTTAACACCAGTATCCTAAGGGCCAAGTTTATTACACCTGTTAGCAAGATAGAAATATACTGGAAACTAACTAGAAATGATTGTTACACGATTATTCCTGTCATTAAAAATGATGGTTATCCCCAGAGCTTACAGAGCCTGTTCCTCCTCCCAGACTTCAGTAAGATCAAGCAGCAGGAAAAGAGAATGCTAGGCCTGGGCGATTAGAAACACAACTTCAGTTGGGAACAAGGAGGATGCCACAGAAATGGCTCCCTGTAAATACAAACAGTATGTGACGCTTCCTTTCCGAAAACATTTGTCTCAGCTGACCGTGGGACATATTTCCCTGGCCTGGTTATAAACACTAGTCTTGGGTAAAGCCTCCAATCATCTCTTCTAGCCAGCAGTTTTTCCTGGATGGAGATCTGTGTCTTTCTCGTCTTTTTCAAAAGAGCAATGACAGACTGATCAGATATAGGAAACCAAAATCGTTCACAGACAAAAACAGCGACTGGCTGAACACGCTAAACCTTCCCAAGTCTCTTCTCAGCTCAGGTCAGGAACTGGGTGGATCCTGAAATATATATAGTCTTCACTCCCAAACAAACTCAACATTCATCCAGCTGTCACAGAAACAATGGTCTTGCAAGGCCTGCTTATCACGTTTCTGGATTTGCTAAGAAGGGCCACTATGAAGAAAAAAAGAAAGAGAAAGGAGGAAACATTCAAACCTTCTCTCTCCCTGCCTCTAAACTATAACAGCATCACAATGATTTTTTTGTTAAGCTTTCATCTGTATGACAACAGAAAGCACCAAAGAATCTAGGGTTTCACTGTAATTGTAAAGCATCTTTGGTCTCCTAGGCTTCTATTAAACCGAATTCAATTTAATGATACTGACCTCCCCAACCACAGCAATGTGAAGGACTAATTCATAATTGATGGGAAAAAGTTTCCAAAGACTGCAAATATAGTGCTATATTCATTTCTTTTTAAACACACAGAGCTGGGCAGACACAAGTTTTTGCTCTAAGCATTTTCAAAAGATAGCACACCAAAAATTCCCCTTTTGAATGGAGGAGTCATTTAGTCCTCGAAGAGTCCTTAAGTCTCTCTCTCTACTTAATTATAGCTATCACAGAGAAGCTGGCTTCATGTGAAGAATGTGGTCTTCACTAAGCTTTAAATTTCCTTCCAAACATGCTGACAGAGTCATCAGAAGTCCTGAGAGGTCAATTTGGCTTTGAGCCTTCTCTAAATGATTAAGTGGGAAGGTCAATCTTGCTGTCAGCAGACAGCTGGAGAGCTGCAACTGTATAGACTCAACCTTGGCAAAGAATAAAGCCGCCAGTCGTGACCCTTTCCACCTCGGTGTTTTCTGAAACGATATCCCTCATCTCCCCATATGAAATCATGGATCACTGGGCACATCAGCCTGTTGCCCAGAAGCGATAATTAGGTGCACAAACAAAACTGAGACACAGTGGCCATGCCTGGAAGGTCAGGAGGGTGAGCCAGTTTCTGTTCCAACAGAATCACGAACAACTTATGTTACCTGGCAGGGGCATTCATGGCAGCCCTGCTGGTAATGGCCAGAGACTAGGAAACATCTCAACAGTCCCAGGATTGGAGGGACTTGTTAAATACATTATGGCATATGTAGCAAAGGTCTGTAGTGGCAAATCTGTACGTACGGCTCGAAGGATCTGGAAGGCATGCTCATCAATGAAAGCTGGTCTGAGAGGAAACTACAGCATGCTACATCTGTATAAAAGAGAAGGGGCTACACCTTGGAGTTTACTTTGCACAGACTATATCCAGGAGGGTATTTAAGAGACTAGTAATGGTGCCTGTCTCCAGGAAAAGGAACTAGAAGGACGGGAAGGAATCTTACTTTTAACTACATGCAGTCCTGGGTTATGAATGAAATCGGTTCTATAGGTTTGTTCTTGTTGAATCTGTATGCAAGTTGGAACAGGTACATTTACCTATTACCTGTAATAGCCTCTGTTCTTAAGTGTGAGTTGTATGTCAGTCAGATGTCTGTAACTTGGGAACTGCCTGTAAATACTTTCTGGGACCATTTAAAATTTTTTAAAAAGCCACTCATTTCTTCAATTAACAAATAATTACCAATGCCCTGCTTTCCACTAGTAGCCCTGTTCTAGGCCCTGGGTAGAGAACAAGGAGAGACACAGCTTAAATTCTGGTAGAGGAACAGATAGGCAATCAAATAAATGCCAGTGATATCATCAATATGAAAACAGGGATAAGAGAGACCAAGTGGTGATCAGAGCACATGGCCAGGGAGGGCAAGAGGTGATACTTAAGGGAGATCACTCCCTGGGAGAATAAAGAAAAGAAATATAAAGTATCACAAGAATGGAAAAGCAAATACCCAATGTACTCAACACTAATATGAAGCCAGTAGACCATCTAATACACGCCCACATAAGATAAAAACTCAATTTAATTCAAGTTGGGGGGAGAGGGAATGAAGGAGGAGAGAGAGGGGAGGGGAATGGTGTGCTCCCACTTAGTGGACACAATGTAAGGGTTTTGGCACATCTTTTGGGTGCAGGACACAGCTACAAGAGGAACTCCACCTAACATATGCAAATATTGTAACCTGGCCGTTTGTACACTCACATTAACTGAGATAAAAAAAAGAAAAGACATAAAAATAAATAGATGAGTCATGTTACAACACCAACAAACCTAAAAACTATAATGAAAGGAAAACATAAAACCAAAGTCTTGAATAATTCCTTTCTTTTGGGGGGCGGGGCTAGACCTCATGTTTACATAGGTCAAATAATTCTTAATTCCACACAATAAAGAAACACCAAACAACCAAACAAGTTCACCTATAATATCAAGAGTGAAAAAATGGAGGCAACTCTGTCTAAGAAGAACAAAAAATTACTTAAATGTTCTTGAAATTTTACTTATACAACAGACTGAATACAAGCTCATCTTTATTTAAACTCCTAAAATACAATAGGTTAACCTTATTCTAAAAAAGAGAGGCAAGTCATTAAAAAACCATGGTTCAAGTTAAAGATCTTGCAGATCAATAAATCATCTTCAATGGATAAATATCTCCTGTCATCTACACCCCCTGCATTTGGCTTCTGCTGAGATTAAATGCACATCTCAGTGAGTATTAACAAAGTACCACCACCTGAAGACTACTTTTATTTTCTACTCAAAGACCAAGTGTAATAAGATTAAGTAAGGAGGGGAAAGGGCAGGTTCAGCCTCATTTCAAGTGCTTAGTGGTCAGTGACCTTTCTAGAATAGAAACAACATGTGATAGAATCATCACCTCTGTTCCCTGGTCCACCCTGTTAGTCTGAACGCCACAGTCACGTTCACCCACGCCCTGCAGCTGCAGACTTGGGGCTGGGACTGGAATCTCACGTGGGCAGGGTGCACTCCCTTGGTTGGAGGAGGTGCTGTGAACCACAGGCTGCCTGGCAAGGGACAACAAAGACTCCACCATCTCCAGCTCCTGCTGGTAGAAGGTCTGTACTCTGTTCTCCACGAGGAATTCTCTGGCTTTTTCACTCAGCAAACATGTGAGACTGGTGAGGTCCGGGGCACCTGGATTGCTGTAGGAGGAAAGTTCTTTTTAAAAAAGCCCCGCAAAAAAACATCATCTTTGTTCCTTTCTGGCATGCAGAAAACAGAAGTTACCTAGAAAATGCAACACTATATTGATGCTTGCATTTGACATAAAGAATAATTTGTACAGTGAACATCAGGCAACTGTTTGAGATTAGGAGGTGGAACTGCAGGAACCAACAGAGCTATTCATGACAGATTTAAATAAAAGGTAAGCTTGTAAAGTATGGTTCTATTTTTGTATAAAAGCAAATGACAACCTACAAAATATATGGGTGAATATTCATGCTTGTGTAAGCAAAGAAGAAACAAGTCTAAAAGGGTACTCGTCAATGCCTGGCTTTGTGGCTCATGCCTGTAATCCTAGCACTCTGGGAGGCCAAGATGGTAGATCACCTGAGCTCAGGAGTTCGACACCAGCCTGAGTCAGCCCATCTCTACTAAAAATAGAAAAACTAGCCAGTTGTGGTCCGTGCCTGTGGTCCCAGCTACTTGGGAGGCTGAGGCAAGAGGATCACTTGAGCCCAAGAGTTTGAGGTTGCTGTGAGCTGTGAGACCACAGTGCTATGAGTGCTTGAGCACTCACTCTACTCAAGGTGACAGAGTGAGTGAGACTGTCTCAAAATAAGTAAATAAATAAATAAAAATAAAAGGGTACACATCAGGCTAGGAACTAGGGTAACCTCTGGGGAATGGTACTGACACGGGAGATAGGAAAATGGAGAAGTTTTGCTTTTTATTTTAACCAGGTCTGTAGTTTGTGCTTTAATTTTTTTGAATATATAATATAGTCATGTGTTAAAAAACACTGAAGGGTACACGGTGAAAAGCCTTTTTATCTTCCTCCCGTCCTACCTCTCAGTCCCCACCCCTGAGGGAGCTGCTGTTATTGGTTGTCTGTGTCTCCTCTGAGTTCTTTATGCATATATTAGCATATAATGCATATAAATACACATATATGCTAATTCTTCCCTACTACCTCCATGGGCAATAAAGGAGTAACATCATTCCTGGTTGAGAATGGCTTGTTGTAGGTTTTCTTACAGGTTTTTGGTTCTGATGTGCTATGGTATAACATTTTGATAATGAGGCACCTTGGTACAGCTTTTGTCAGGTCTCTTACCTTGGGATTTGCCGAGTTTCCTAGATCTGTGATTTTGTAGTTTTTATCAAACTTGGAGAAATGTCAGCTATTATTTCTTCAGAGTGATTTTTCTCTGCTCCCACCTCTACTCCTCCAGTGACTCCAATTACACATCTATTTTCCTTACAATAAGCCTAAGCATATGTACCATTGTCTTCACTTTACAGATGCGGAAATGGAAGCATACAGAGGGTTAGAGGACGTGCCCAGAGCCCCATGGAGTGTAGTGGACAATTGTGATTTGAACCCAGGCTGACCCCACCATCTGGTCTCCAACTGCTCAGCTGTGTTCTCAGCAGTGATGAGGCACAGCTTACCTTAGAGCCTTTTCCTTCTCTAGGGCCGGGCTTCGGAAAGGCTGGTCATAAACTTTCCTGTAGATAATGGGCAGCTCAAGCATCCTTGCAATTTGAATGTTCCACACTGGGTCATCCACTTTATCTAACAAACACCAGAAAAAAGATGCCACAGAAATGACACTGAGATCAATTCCTCCCCATGCGCAAACTGCTGCAGGGACAATAGTCAATGAGGCACTGGGCCTCCTTCCTCGTGGGTGCCCAGGGTTCGCTAAGTGGTTCCCAGTCATCCTGTGAGAGGGAAAGCAAACCTAAGTGCCACTGGCTTGGCCAGGGAGTAGGCCAGGACCAGGAAGGCACACTGGTGTATTTACTCACCTGTTCCTCTGGTGGACAGCAAGAGTTGTCCTTGAGATTTCCAACTAGAAATCATACTTCTGATTAGCTATTTTCTTTTAAAGTTAACAGACTCAGTGGTGTTCCCAGCATTGTGAAGAATATCAATACTGTGCCCTAATGAATTGACACTTAAAACTTCAGAGTACTTTGGAAACTCTACTACGTTGTCCAAATAAACTTGCCAACTATATATAGTAAAGGATTCACTTTTTTTTTTTCTTAGAGACAAGAGTCTCACTCTATTGCCCTCGGTAGAGTGCCATGGCGTCACAGCTCATAGCAACCTCCAACTTCTGGGTTTAGGAGATTCTTTTGCCTCAGCCTCCCAAGTAGCGGGGACTACAGGTGCCCACCACAATGCCCAGCTATTTTTTGTTGTAATTTGGCTGGGGCCAAGTTCAAACCCGCCAGCCTCGGTATATGGGGCTGGCGCCCTACCCACTGAGCCACAGGTACCACCCGAAATGCTGCTTTTCTAAAGATAGCATCTTACACAATATTATTTCCCATATTAAAAAGAGTTAAATTTTCTTATTTGAACTTTCCTTGAGTATGGCGTTTAGCTCTTATTTAGTAAACTCTTATTTACTGAACACACATCCAGAATAACAACCAATGTGGTCAAAATCTCTCATGCTTACAATAAGCGGTGGCATGAATTTCTCGCTGTTCTCTGTACGTGCGGATGTAGCCTCTGATTCGGATAACGTCCCCAATTTCTAACTTTGTTTTCTGCTTAATGGCCTCTCGTAGCTTCTGAAGTTGTGAGGTCAAGCTCAGCTCTCCTGCTGTACTTGGAGCAGCTGCAGTTCAGAAGGAAAGTTACAACACAATCAGCTCCCACGCTTGTGACATGGCTGTAGCATAAGACCAACACCATACGGTTCTCTATCCTACTGGAAGTTGCTCTATTGATTGAAGGAAATCGTATAGCCTTAGGAAGTCCTCTACTGGACAGAAGATATAAACTGTAACTATTCAAGAGCAGAGTGTGGGAACAGAGGCTGGGTGGAGGCCCAAGGGTGAGTTCCAGTGTGGCTCCAGCACCTTCTTTCCGGCCCCTGCACTGTCAGAGCAGTCAAAGGGATTCATAGTCCAAAGGTGAACTCTGGACACAGTTTATCAGGCACAGTGGCAAAAGCACTAAATAACCCTTTCAAGTGTCCTTGAAAGGAGACTTGTCTCACTTAGACACTCAACATTCTAATCTCTCACCTTTCATCTCTCTTGGGGAACTAGACTAATCTCTCTCTCTCTCTTTCACACACACACACACTCACTCTCATACTGCTTTAAACTATAAACGTAACTGCATGGTGAAAAGAACCCAATGCGTACTCAGTTCTAAATAATTTCTATCACTCAATTTTACTTTTAAATTGCATTAGGTAAGAAGAATAGCCCCAGACATCTGAATACTACAGGTGCTGTTCCACGTACTTTACGAGGTATGAGCACATTTAACCCTCACAACCACTCCTGTTTGTCACTAGCCCCAATGCAGAGGTGAGGAAATGAAGTCACAGAGGGCAAGCAAGTTATTTTGGGCAAGTAAAACAGCCAGTTAGTGACAAAGCTGGCATTTGAACGCAGACAACCTCTAACTCCAGAGCCTTCCTGCTTATCCTTTATACTCTGCTGCCTGCCCCAGGAGGAAGCTCATATTTTCCAGGTTATAGCTGGTGGGTGTAAACGATTTTGTGTTCTTTTTTTTTTTTTTGCCTAGCATAATTTTAAATACACACGTGTATCCACAGAATCTATACAACTCAGCATTTTAAATACCCATAGAACAGTCTATCCTGTTAACATGCCACAGTTTGTTTGGATAGTCTCACTAAATCATTTCCTCCCTCTTTTAAAATTTTTTAATTTGATTTTTATCACTAGCACCATATGTGGGTGGTATACCTTACAGGTTAGCACTTGGCTACTTGAGTCAGAAAAGACCTGACTTAAATCTCAGCTTACCTCCTACTAGCTATGTGAGCCTGGGCAGGTTACTCAACCTCACTGTGCCTCAGTTTCCTCTCTACTCTTGGGCCTCAATTTCTTGAATTATGAAACAGGAATAATAGTAGAGTTGTTGTTGTACATGATCTAATTTATCCCTTACCTTTAACACAATTCCAGATCCATAGGAAATAATAAATGTAAGTAAGCTATTTGTGATAATGAAGGATTTAGCCTTCATGACAAAATTATCTTGTTTTGAGGGGTGTGTGTGTGTCTTTCATTAGGGATTACTAGACAAAATAGTACAAACTGGTTTCCAGTTCATTACACACTGTCAGAAAGTTTGCCAGAAAAAAAAAAATCAAACCTATTTTTACATGATCTAATAAGTAATGCATGCATGCTCACAGCTCCTATACCAGCATCAGTCATTTGGTTTATTATTATAATTTTTAGAAACTGGGTCCCAGTCTGTCATCTAGGCAGGAGTGCACTGGCATGATCATAGCTCACTATAACCTTGAAGTCCTGGGCTCAAGCAATCCTCCCACCTCAGCCTTGTGAGTAGCTAGGACTAATGGTGCATACCACCATGATTGGCTAATCTTTTAAATTTTTAAAAACTTTTTTTTGGAGACAGTCTCATTCTGTCATTCTGGGTAGAGTGCCATGGCATCATCATAGCTCACAGCAACCTTAAGTGATCCTCTTGCCTCAGCCTCCCAAGTAGCTGCAACTGTAGGTACCCACAATACCTGACTAGTTTTTTTTCTTTAATTTTTAATAGAGATGGGGTCTTGCTCTTGCTCAAGTTGGTCTCTAACTCCTGAGCTCAAGCAATCCACCAACCTAGGCCTCCCAGAGTGCTAGGATTATAGGCGTGAGCCATTGCACCTGGCCTTAAAATTTTTCTTAGAGATAGGGTCTCACTATGTTGCTCAGGCTGGTCCTGAACTCCTAGACTCAAGTTCTGCTTCGGCACCTTGAATAGCTGGTGGATTTTTAATACCTTAACAAATACATAATGATTCCATACATTTTATTTTGCCTTAAGAGAGGCTATATTTTCATCAAAATTAACCTAACACAATTTGGATAAACATGGGATTTGTAAAGTGCAGTCATTAATTTTCTTTTAACACACCTACTAAACCAAGGAAAAGAGCAATGTAGGGAGCACCAAGAACTTTGTGTACGCAGTGACTAATGCCTGGGAACCTAGGAATACCCGGGAACAATCAGTATTAACACTGCTCAGCTTACTGAGTTTCTTAGAAACTACCCCAAGTATTGGCTGGGGTTGGTGGGGTTGGTGGCTCATACCTATAATTCTAACACTCTGAGAAGTGTTAGGAGGATTGCTTGACACCAAGAGTTCAAGACCAGCCTGAGCAAGAGCGAGACCACACCTCTACATAAAATTGGCAAATTAGCTAGATATGGCGGCACCATAGTCCCAAATACTCAGGAGACTGAGACAGGAGGATTCCTTGAGCCCAGGAGTTTCAGGCTGCAGTCATCAGGTGATCCACTCACCTTAGCCTCCCAGAGTATTAGGATTACAGGCATGAGTACTAGGGATTACACCTGCCCCCCAGTACTAGTTTTTGGGTTTTTTTTTTTTTTGCAGTTTTTTGCCGGGACTGGGTTTGAACCTGCCACCTCCAGCATATGGGGCAGGCACCCTACTCCTTTGAGCCACAGGCACCACCCTCCAAGTACTAGTTTTTAAAAGACTGTTCTACTCTGGGAAGCTGAGAGTTCTACTCTGGGAGGCTCAGGAGTTCGAGGTCAGCCTGAGAAAGGTTTCTACTAAAAATAGAAAAACCTAGCCAGGCTTTGTGGCAGGTGACTATAGTCCTAGCCACTCTCGAGGCTGAGGCAGGAGGATCACTTGAGCCCAGAGTTTGAAGTTGCTGTGAGCTATGGCACCACAGCACTCCACCCGGGGCAACAGAGTGAGACTGTGTCTTAAAAATATAAAAATAGGCTCAGCACCCATTGCTCAGTGGTTAGGGTGCCAGACACATAATCCAGAGCTGGCGGGTTCAAACCCAGCCCAGGCCTGCAAAACAACAATAATGATTACAACAACAACAACAACAAAAATAGCCAGGCATTGTGACAGGTGCCTATAGTCCCAACTACTGGGAGGCTGAGGCAAGAGAATCACTTGAGCCCAGAAATTTGAGATTGCTGTGAGCTATGATGCCACAGCATTCTACCAAGGGTGACATAGTGAGACTCTGTCTCAAAAAATAATAAATAAATAAATAAATAAATAAAAGGCTGTTTTATCTGTGGTCCTATCTTTAGGTCCTCTTCTCCTTCGGCTGAATTTTAAAGGTATTTATAAATTTCACTTCAGAGATTATAGTTGATAATTAATGCTTCATATGGCACCATTGAAATTATCAGACTGATAGTTGGTCTGAGGAAAAGAGACCCTGCTTTCATATAAAGGGTGAGCCAAATTGCCAAAAGAAGCCTCAAGCTGTGTAATTTAATGAACATAATGAGATGGCTGGAGCTTGACAGAAGTTCATTTTAAGTAGTCTATTCCATCATGAAAGATAAATCCCCTTTAAAATTCTAATATTAAGGGCCAGTTTTTTTAAACTTTGCTCATAAGCTAAGTCCGAATGATACATTCAATGTGACATTTATGGGAGTTAATATTATATTTTTATACTTTGACTGGAACATGATTTTGACTCAAACTAAATTTTGTTTAAAAAAATTAGTCTTCAATGGCCACTTTCCAATGGAATGCTTTTAAACTGAGGGCAATTAAATTAAAAGGAGATTATGGGCTAGTTGGGAACAATTTAAAAACATCACATGTAATGCGACAAGAATCAGTTTCAGGCTCTCTCCTTAAGTTCTTATACTCTTGTTGTATTTGCAAAGCAATTTCGATTAAGGGTACCCACTACGATTGTTCATCTGCTTATTTACAGATAACTTTAAAACTCTTAGTATCAATAATCATTTTATTGCTCAAGAAAATTACTAAGTGGGACAGCAGGAGTAGGGTGCTGTATGGCTCAGAGGAGTAGGGTGCTGGCCCCATATGCTGGAGGTGGCAACCCCGGCCAAAAACTGCAAAAAAAAAAAAAAAAATAAGAAGAAGAAAGAAAATTACTAAGTATAGGAGTTATATAATATTCCTGATGATGCCATTTCTTTAAGAAGAGTTAATTTTGAAAACTAAAATAATGTCTAAAACAGAGATGTGCAAATGATAGCCCAGAGGACAAAATCATCCATACCCAGTTTTTGTAAATAAAATTTTATTGGAACACAGCCATTTCTACCTGTTTATGCATTGTCTGTGGCTGCTTCTGTGTTACAACAGCTGTGTTGAATAGTTGAAATGCAGACTCATGGTCTCCAAGGCAGAAAATATTTACTATCTAGCTCTTTACAGAAAAAGTTTGCTGATCCTTCATCTAAAATAGCATATTCAAATTACACCTTCTGTTTGTGTAGGTTATAAAATAGGGGTAGACAAAGTTCCTGTTTCTGTAGCTTCTCCAGAGCCAAAAATGATGACCAATATTGCACAATATTTTTTTAATATTATGAACTTGATTTAACTTTTAAAAGTACCTAAGAGTTGTTATTATTATAAAATGCATTCAAATAACTCTTATTTTGTTTCAATTATGGTAAGTATGTTCAATATACAATTTTAAAGTTCATTTTCAGTTTATATTACTTATGGATAACTTTCAAGGAATCTTATCTGATATTCTTATCGATTTTAGAATCCCTGGTATAATTTGGGAGCATAATCAAGATTTCAGAAAATGTGGATTATGGTAGAACAGAAGTTAGTGCCGACTACGTGAGAGGAACAGTCTTCAAAATCTTCTTTGATCCAAGTGATACATCCAGAGCAAGGGATTCAGACCTGACTTGGCAGGGTAAAGGGAGGGTGACTGGTGGGATCACGCCTATGGTTCATCTTATAAGGGTACATGTGAATCTGTCTAAATGTAGAATATAAATGTCTTAACAGAATAACTAAGAAAATGACAGGAGGGCTATGTTAACTAGTTGATGAAAATATTTCGAATTGTATATAAAAATAGCACACTGTACCTCATGACTGTAGTAATGTACACAGCTATGATTTAATAAAAAAAAAAAAGAAGAAAGCTTACATTTTACATTTTTTGTTAAAATCAAACCAGTCATTGACTATAAATTTGTTTGCATTCGAAGTTGATTGCCCCTGTGGACTAAGTTCTCTATATCCTCACAATAAAATGTGTTTTCAGTAAAAAAAAAAAGCATCTTGACTTAGGTAAAAAATGAGCTGCTGAAACTGCAAGTAACCTGTTCACCTTCCTGAAGCCTTAGGAGGAAGTAAACGGCAAAGAGATGGGAGAAGGAAGAGCAACTGGCCTCCGCATCACGTCAGTCTTCAGAACAGCCAAAGCTCTGGGGACAGCTTCAGGTGGGTTCAGGTAATACATCAGTGGGGAAGTGGGAAAATTTGGCCCTATACCTGTTTTTATGAGCTACTTTGAGTAAAATCCATCTGTCAGTTGAAAAGTAAAGGAACATGGCAAATTAAATTACCTGGTAAAGACTCGGTATCGCTCTGCTTTTTCCAGCAGACACACTTTATAACTCCAGTGCTATCGTCCACTGCAAGAGAAGCATAAAAGGGCAGAAGAGAGACAAGGGCATGATTGGTAAATGCCATCCTGAAGGCTGACATTTCTCAATGGCCTGGAAGGTCAAATCCTTTATCAAACTCTCCTTCCACCTTTAGAAACAGCCTCTCACTGTTACTAGCACGAGGTGCTTGCCTGTGTAACTCAGTGTAACAATACACAAGTCCACGAGACGCACTTAGCACCTCACTTACGTACCTCAAGGGTACTGATGATTCCTGTCCCCCACTTTCTACTAAAAACGATGTCCTCAGGAAGTGAAGTGCAAAAATCTCAACCTTTCCTTCCCACCCTGAAACAAGAGGGCATCATGCGGTCTGTGGTCAGAGGCAAAGCACTTCGAGCACAGCCTTCTGTCACCACTTCTCTTCACCAGTGTGTGGACTTAATAAGACAAAGCATTCCAAGTCATTTGGCCTGGGCATCTCTTTGGGGAAGAGCTTCTGCCCAGTCCTTGCCACTGCAGGGGATGTGAGGAAAGCCAAACACATCACAGAAGGGCACCATTTTATTTTTATAATAGAAAACAATTATTCCCCGGCCACAAAAACATACTGGTCTGGTTGATTGCATTCATAATGCAAAAAAAAAAAAAAAAAAAAGAAAGAGAAAAAGACAGCAAAAACTAAAAACAATTCTCAATGTACCTGGATTTAAAACTATAGACAAATTTGAAGATACTTGCTAGGGGATAACAGGCATTTTCTCTTTGTCTATTTCTGACAAATTCAAAACAGAGGTTGCTAAATATGGGGTCAGTAGGCCTCATAATTTTAAAAAAATCATCAATGAGACTGTTATAAAAGAACACATGATACAGAAGAAATATAAGACAAAAGATTTTATTGCTGGCTTAAGAAAAAGCCAAGAAGACCATTTCTTACACAAAAATAAATACTAAATGAGTTTCATTTCATTAAATATAAAATAGGTAAATGAAGAAGGGAAGAGGGAACTATTAGCCTTGGTCTTAGAGTTGGTGGAGAGAGACTTCTTTAAACAGAACCTGAAAATCAGAATTCATTAGGATACGTTTGACTACTTAAAAACTAATATCGAATAGCAATTTTCCAAAGGATAGGGTTAGTGCCTTAATATACAAAGAGTTTATACAAATTAATGAGAAAAAATGGCCAGGTCTGGTGACTCCATATGTAATCCTTACACTTTGGGAAGTGAAGCAGGAGGACTGTCTAATGCCAAGAGTTTGAGACGAGCCTGGGCAACAATGCAGGATCCTGTCTCTACTAAAGTAAACAAAACAAAACAAACTCCCCCCAAAAAACAAAACCAAACAAACAAAAATTAGCCAGGTGTGGCAGCATGTATGTATAATCCCATCTACTTGGGACAGAGAGGCAGGAAGATAACCTGAGCCCAGGAATTTGAGGTTGTAGTTAAGCTATGATGATGCCACTATACTCAGCCCAGGTGACAGAGTAAGACCTGCCCCCAAACAAAAAGAAAATAATACAAATAATAATAAGAAGAAATAGACCAAGCCCACAAGATAAAAAGTAGCAAGGCAAAAGGATATACAATTCATGGAAGATATAAAAATGGTCAATAAATGTCAGTATGGGCTCGGTGCCTGTAGCAGTGGTTATGGCACTGGCCACATGCACCAAGGCTAGCGGGTTCAAGCCTGGCCCAGGTCAGCTAAACAACAATGACAACTGCAGCAAGAAAATAGCTGAGAGTTGCGGCAGACGCCTGTAGTCCCAGCTACTTGGGAAGCTGAGGCAAGAGAATTGCTTAAGCCCAAGAATTTGAGGTTGCTGTGAGCTGTGATACCACAGGACTCTATCGAAGGTAACATAGTGAGACTCTGTCTCAAAAAAAAAAAAAAATTAATTAAAAAATAAAAATGAATGCCAGTATGCTAAATTCACTAGTTACCATGGAAAAAGCAAATTTAAATAATTTTTCAACTCCCAGATTGACACACATTAATAATGATACCTTCATATAAATTGGTAAAAAATTTCTAAAGAGCAACTTTGGAAAAATGCATCAAATTCTGAAATACAGGGTATAGTGGCTCACACCTATCATCTGGGAAGCTGAGGTGGGAAGATCACTTGAGGCTTGAACAAGGGCGAGACCCCATTTCTACTAAATATAGAAAAAAGTAGCTGGGCACGGTGATACATGCCTATAGTCCCAGCTACTCTGGAGGCTGAGGCAGGAAGATCATTTAAGCCCAGGAATTTGAGGTTGCTGTGAGCTAAGATATCACTGCACTCTTAGAGCAAGACTCTGTCTCAAAGAAAAAATGTTTTTTTGAAATGCAAATTGTGCACAGTAGTGCATGCCTGCAGGCCCAGGTAGTCTGAGCCCAGGAATTCAAGGCTATGGCGTATTCTGATCATGCCTATAAACAACCACTGGACTCCAGTCCAACAACATAGCAAGACCCATCTCTTAAAAAATTTTTTAAATGTATATATCATTCGAGTTAGCAATTACTTCCATTAATCTATCCTGAGAAAAACAGAACAAATACACAGATCTGTGCGTCTTATATATGGCTGTTCATTGTAGAATTATTTATAATACTATAAATTGGAAATACAGAAATGTCTATAAATGGCTTGGCTCCTGCAGCACAGTGGTTACAGCACCAGCCATATGCACCGAGGCTGGCGGGTTTGAGCCAGGCCTGGGCCTGCTGAACAACAATGACAACTGCAACAAGAAAATAGCCAGGCATTGTGGTGAGTGCCTGTGGTCCCAGCCACTCGGGAGGCTGAGGCAAGAGAATCGTTTAAGCCCAAGTGTTTGAGATTGCTATGAGTTGTGATGCCATGGCACTCTACTGAGGGTGACACAGTGAGACTCTGTCTCAAAAAAAAAGAAATGTTTATAAATATGGACCTGGTTAATAAATTACAACGACATATTATATGAGAATATGTAAAGATCTATGTTCATTGCTATAAAAAGATATGCCTCACTATAAAACAGAAATTATATATATAATCATATATAATCTAATATATATAAAATATTAAACAGCATATTTTGATAGAAAAAAAAATTTTTTTTTTTTGAGACAGAGCCTCACACTGTCACCCTGGGTAGAGTGCTGTGGCATCACAGCTCACAGCAACCTCCAACTCGTGGGCTCAAGCGATTCTCCTGCCTTCACCTCCCAAGTAACTGGGACTACAGGTGCCTGCCATAACGCCTGGCTATTTTCTGGTTGCAGCCGTCATTGTTGTTTTGGCAGGCCCGGGCTGGATTTAAACCCACCAGCTCAGGTGTATGTGGCTGGCACCTTAGCCACTTGAGCCCCAGGCGCCAAGCTCGAGTCTTGCTACTTCACCCTCGGTAGAGTGTCATGGCATCCCAGTTCACAAACCTCAAACTCTTGGGCTTAAGCGATTCTCTTGCCTTGGCCTCCTGAGTAGCTGGGACTATAGGCGCCCGCTACAACACCTGGCTATTTTTGGTTGTTGTTGTTGTAGTTATCATTATTGTTTGGCTGGCCTGGGCCAGGTTCGAACCCACCAGCCTCAGTGTATGTGGCTGGCTCTGTAACCACTGTGCCATGGGCACAGAGCCAATAGAAATGATTTTAAGACATTAAACGCTAATAGTTTCTTTTTTTTTTTTGAGACGGAGCCTCAAGCTATCCCCCTGGGTAGAGTGCCATGGCATCACGCTCACAGCA